CAAAAACACAACATCCCCACCCCCACCCCCGCCAAGGCTCACAGTGGTTCTAGCAAGAATCCACTGATACAAACAGCAAAAGAGTTTGGGAGACAGAAAGACTGCACTGGGCTGGTACCAGCTCACGCAGACCCCAGGAAAGACAGGCCTTTGTCTGCGGGACCCCAAGCGTAAGGCCTGCCTGAGCTCCAGAACACCAGCTCAGGGCAAAAACCCGGCAGCTTCAATTTTCTCCTCACCTCCGCTCTAGTTTCCAGTCATCTTTCCCAAAGAGAACTGACTGTAAAATGGAAACCCTCCAGTGAACGTTTCTTAGAATCCAAGCTGGCCCAGCTCTGCCTCAGACCACCATCAAAGAAAGAGATTTTTAAACCATTCCCAGAAAATGAAGACTCTAAAATGTCTCGAGGGCTTGTGGAAGGGGAAACTGAAAAAGAATGAAAACGTCATCTCCAAGCGAGGTATAAAGGAGACAGGAAATCATGTAAATTTATGAGTGGAGGGTACACTGCCACTTTAAGAAGCCCCAGGCAGAGCGTGGAATGACTAAAACCCATGAAAATGTAAGTGGGTTACAAAGGGAAAATCACAGTGAATCACAACAGCAGATGTGGGTACTTTTGGGGATACTCCCACTCTTTTGAGGCAACCTGGCTAGGTGGGCAATGATTCTCGCTCACATGCCTGCTTTCAACATTAGAGAAACAGCCTGAAGTACTTCCCTTGTTGAAATTAATCTGACCATTTTCTGGTCAAGAGTGGTGGATGAATCAAGAACCCCTGGCCTTCTGCGAAAGAGTCTTCCCTGCCAGTCCAGCCCAGCAGAGAGAACCCTAACTACGCCACGGGAGCAGGGACCTGACCCACCTGCAGGCCTGGCAATTGGAGGAAGATGGAAGCCCAGAGAGGAGGAGGAAGTTCAAGGTCACACGGTGAATTAAAGCCAGAGACTGGGGCTGACTCGAAGCTCCTCAGCTGCTGTCTAACGAGCAATGGCAGACAGGGACACAATCTGGGAAAGTTCCTGCACAGAGCAATTGCCATTTACTTATTGATGAATAATTCCTCACTCCCTGAGCCGCTCCCCTCCACAGGGGTCTAAGAAACTAGATGTCGGCACGTGCACTTTAATAGGGATTAGGAAGAAGGGCAAAACCCACACAGGTGCAGTAACCTGGAAGATAAAACTCTTCATATCAGAATCTTCTCACTGCAAGCCATTTCCCCTAAAAAGCTATTTCCTCTAATTGAAAAAGAAAGCTGGTTTAGGAGCTGGAGAGTTGGTAGAGGAGTTAAGGTGATTGCCTTGCATGTGGCCCACCTGGGTTCGATCCGGGGCAGCACATATGGTCCCCCGAGCACTGCCAGGAATGATCGATCCCTAAGCACCAGAGCCAGAAATAAGCCCTGAGCACTACCAGGTATGGCCCAAAAACCAAAAGAAAAAAAAAATAAAGCTGGTTTTATCTAAGGGTAAGGTATGGTAGATACGCAGAGGAAAATTCCAGAACTAGATTCCAGAACTCTATAGTCCTGAATAACTATATAATCAGACCAAACGGAGCTCTGGGAGGTCTGCATGCCAGCACTCGAAAGCCTTTCTTGCAGACAGTAAGAGAGAATCAGTTTTACTCAATTTACAGAAAAAGGACAGATGATTCTCTCAAACATCTCCAAATCAGACCTTCAAGGGAGCAAACAGCGGAAAGAGAACAGGCTAAGGAAACAGGGCAGAAGAAGAAAAAGAAAACTCAAAATTCACGCCGCCTCTAGTCCCCTCTGACAGTGGGAATTCAAAGAAACAGAAGCAGCCCAGAGATTCCAAAATTTCAGAGGTTCTTTGAACTGCTCTAATCTTTCTAATCCCACCCAAACATGGAATTCAGCGCCAGGCTCTGTGTTCAGCTGGGAGGCCCCCTTAGGAGGTGAGCGGCTGAAGGAGGTAAAAGCACCCCTCAGCCCCACCCCCAGCTGCTCAGGGGCTTTGCAGGCCCTTAGATTTCCCTCACTCCCTGCACAGAGGGGCGATGCGTAGCCTAGCAACCACTGACCCTTTCCCACTGCCCGTGTGCTGCAATGCAAACCCAGACTTTAGCGCGAGGCTACACAAACTGGCCAGCACTGCATTGGGATTCAGCTGCAGCCTCACCCCTCCCGTCCCATCACCCCACTGGGATCAGCCTTAAAGTCTTATCTCTCCCAGACCCAGAGAGACAGAAATCAGAGGAGGGCCCAGACCTTTCTCTCCTAACCAGGCTCCAGGAAACCCAGGTAAAGAGGGTCACAGAGTATCTGATGGTGGCATTTATAGGCGCAGAATACGCTGTAATCAGGAGCTGGGGGAACTGATGTCTGCCAGCCACATCGAGGAGCATCCACCTCCTCACCCTTCCACCCGAGTCCAGACAGGAATTAACCATCACATACTCCCACCCCCTATTCTGAAGTCACCACAGATTCTCCCCACCCCCTTAAATGTGGTATCATGGTTGTCTTTTTTTTCCTCCCCGGACTAATCTGATTTCATGTCCAGAAGGGGACATGATACATCATGCTTCAAATTGCTACTTTATGCCCCTCAGGTGTCAAATTACAAAGTGAAGGCAGGGAAGATGCAGCTGGAAATCTGAGGCCAACCTGTGTCCCACAGTATCCACCACTCTCTCACCTACCCTGATTGTCTTTGGGGGGAAGCCAGAGGTGGGAACATGGGGTTACACCCTGCAGTGCCCAGGGCTTACCCCTGACTCTGCCCTCAAGTCACTCCTGATGGTGCTCACCGGGCTCTCTCTATGTGGGGCCAGAGATGGAACCTGCATCAACCCTGTGTTAGGCAAGCACTTCCCACACGGCATTATCTCTCTGGCCCACACCTGCCCTGACCCTCCAGGCGTTAGACATCTGCACACAGATTTAGGAGGTCTTTGAAGTTATTTTGTTTTTGTTTTTGCCACACCTGACAGTGCTCAGGGGCGTACTTCTGGCTCTGTCCTCAGGAATCAGTCCGGTTGGTGCTCAGGGGGTCATATGCAGTGCTGTGGAATGGCCACATGCAAGGTAAGGGCCTTCCCTAGCCTCTGTACTATTCAGTCAGTCCTGATCAGAAACGGGCCTGTAATATGCCAGGAAGATGGACGCACACACTCATTCAGACCTGTAGGTCACAGGTCTCTATAGTATGGACACACACAAGGAAATTTTCACATTCACACAAATCCCCAAGCCGTCCTAATGGGGGGGGGGGGGGAGAGGGAGGGAGGGAGAGAGAGAGAGAGAGAGAGGGAGGGAGAGAGAGAGAGAGAGAATTGATGTATGTATCCAGGACATCATTTATAAAGCTCTGCACAGATTCAGACACAATTACAAACAAGGAGTCACCTTTGGCATGGCTAGCGTGTCCCTGAGGAGTATGGAGTGTCCCCTGAGCCACACAGAGCAGGTCTATTGTCTGTCGCTGTAGGAAAAGACCACCTAGACAGAAGCCACTGACTCCCAATGTTTTCTTCCCAGTCAATGTGACTCAACTCACAGTGTATCACAGTGACAGACACTCATGATTGAGATGCCAGGGCTCAGACACTCTATAGATTTCTGGAAATAATTTAGCTTTAAAATTCATCACTGGACATAAAAAGGTTAAAATTTTGTCAAAGGAAAAAAATCCCTAAGTTATTGGATTAAAGGAGGGTGTACATGCTGGGCAGAGCCTGACAGAGCTCCCAGAAGGAGACCGTTTCTGAAACGTGTGAGGCAGCAGGATTTTTCAAGGACCAGTGCAATTTACACACTGACTTCTAGAGCACAGAGAAGATATCACAGTCAAGCTTTTCAGCCTGAAGTAAAACATACAGGCTATCACGAGAAGGATAGAGACACATCATCAATACACCTCGACCAGATTCTGAGATCGGCTTCATATCGGAATTCGGCATTGTTCGTTTAAGATTACACCTTTGCTGCAATGAAACTACAGTTGGGATAAAGACACAGGTTGGGTCTATAAGCAGTGAAAAATATCTGCCTCTAGTCCAACAAACATTGTGATAATTGCTAAAGTGACTAAGTTCTTCTAGAGCTTTGTTCTGCACCTTCTATCCTCTAAAGAAAGAAGAAATGCCAAACAAAACAAATACAACAAAACCGTAGGTGAACAAAAAAAGCAATAGGCCTAAAAACTTGGAAATACAAAGATGGATGCATCATAGTGCTATGTTCGGAACGATGGAGGTGGGACGTGGTGCCTGAGAGGCATCAACATCTCAGCCTCCATCTCATGACACAATTTTTCCTAAACCCTAATCACAAGTGCCGCCGTACATCCAAGAAGCTAACTGCAACAAGTCAGAATTCGCTACTCACCACGTTTAATTACAGCTAAAATAAGCAAAGATACCTTACCACCAGATAAAGGTCTATGTAAAAAAATAATAATAATAATAAAATAAAAACATGGAAGATGCAAAAAGCATCTTTACTTTTCTCTGAGAATGAAAACGTGGCTTAAACACATTGACAATTTAGAAGCCCTTGGAGCTCAGGCCCCTGGAGACTAACGCAGTAGCACAGCTGGTGGGTACAGCAGACCTCAGCAGGTGGTAAAACATGAATCAAACCACAAAGTCACTTGTTTTATTTATTCAACTTAATGAGAATATTTTTTTCATTTTCCTACTGAAATAAGTTTTATCAGAGGTACTTACCCTAGACCCTGCTAGGGGTGTTATATGCATGCCCTATAGCTTTCTAAAAATGTTTTAAATTCTAAGCACTTCTAGCCTCTGGTGTTTCAGATAAAGGGAAGAGATTATAGTTCTATAACAGGATGGTGTAAACCCTCTACAAAGGTTACTAAAGGCCCAGGAGCGGCAGGTTACCTTGTGGTTGGTTCACTCCAACCAGTTTCCTAAACAAGCCAGAGGCAACATTATTTGGCAACAGTGTTAGAAATAGGAATTTCATTACTCAGTGCCCCCAGTACAGGTTAAATTTTGGGTTCCTACCTTCACGTACTCAGGAGCTGAGTCCATAAGGTGCTGATCCCTAAGAAAAAAAAAAAAAGACAAAATGAAATAGATATTGAGAACATGCATTCTAGGGCAGAGTAACACGTGTCCAATATTATTTCATCCAGTTCGCCCAAATTATTAAGTAGGACCTACCTTCCAGACAACACCAGGGAAAGAGGGATAAGGACGTTGGAACCAAGATTGGTGCCTGGCAAGGTACAGGTAGAGGGGGCCGGTAGGACACCACTACGGCCTCGTTCTGGAAGTCTCACATATGTTTCTGATACCTTCAGGCCCCAAATGTTGGGCTCTCTCACCTAAGAAATCTAAATTCACTAGAGCATTTAAAAAAAAAACACAACACACAAAAAAAACCTAGGCTATGAGTATTACAGCGGAGAGCAAGGAGAACAGTGGGCTGGTCATGCAAGAGAGGCTGACCAATCAACACGCAGCACTAGGATCTGAACCTCCCCCCCAACACACACACACACACACACACACACACACACACACACACACACACGCCTCCTGTACCACGCCCCGACGGATGAAAAACTGGAGGCTCAGGTGGGTGGAACAGCTGCCCCAAGGTCACTGGGCACCCAGGTGAGTGAGAGAACAGAGACTTTACCCAGTTCTACCTCCATTTTAATTTTCATTCCCTCTCCCCCCCCCACCCCCACCCCCACACACCACTTGCCTTTCCTTGTTTCTGCAAGACCGGGGTCAGACATGTGGCAGTTGCCACACTTAGGGCCAACCCGGTTGATTCCAGCAAGGAATCAGCCATCTTCTTGGACATCAATCACACTGGCTGTTCTACCACCACTGAGTTACCAGCCCCACAGCACTGCTGCACAACACAATTTTCTTTCTTTCCTTTTTTTTTCCTTTTAAGCCACACCTGGCGGTACTCAGGGAGTATTCCTGGCTCCGTGCTCAGGGGTCACTCCTGGCGGGGCTCAGGGGATAGAACCAGAATCACTGTGTGCAAGGTAAGCACCTGACATCCTGTGCTATCTCTCAGGCCCAACTTTCTCCTTTTTCTTACTACTCTTTCCCCTCTGTCCTCTCTTCTGTTGTCAATTCACCCACATGTTCTTGGGAAGAGAAGTTGCCTGACTCAAAACCCATCCCTGCCTGGGACTCGAGGGTAGGGGGGCTGTACCTTGGGTCTACGGGCAGGGCATTTGCACAGAGGCAGAGTAGTTCCTTCTCCATGCAAACAGATTAGGTTCTGCGGTAAGTTCCTTTGTGGCACCCAAGGATCTGAGAGAAACGGAAGCTCACAGTCTCTCTGGATACATGCCCATCAAAGAGGGCAATAAATCAGCCTTTCAGAGTCTTAAAGCAAGGCATACTGTGTGACCTAAGCTGGTGTTGGCTTCATAAGGCGTTTCCCCGGAGCATCAAGCTATCTGCTATACCCAGCCAGCGCATCAAAGGTCTCTCTCTCTCTCTCCTCCCTATCTCCCCCCTCCCCCTCCCTCTGTCTTCCCCTCCCTCTCTCATCCATCTCCCTCCCTCTCTCTCTCTCTCTCTCTCTCTCTCTCTCTCTCTCTCTCTGCACTCTAGACCTTGTAAGTATGTCACCACAAACCATGTGTGCATTCACAAAGCGGTACAGCTATTGGGATGTGACTCAGCATTAGAGTGCCTGCTTTGTGGGCATGGGGCCACATGTTAAATCCCTGGCCCCCCTCATCTCCCCCCTGTGGCACTTCAGCTGAGCGTGCAACCGCCGGACACATGGTATAGCAGGTAGGGCGCTTGCCTTGCACGTGGTTCACTCAAATTCCATACCCACCATGACATACGGTCCCTCAAGCCCCACTAGGAGTGTTCCTGAATATAGAGACAGGTGGAAGCCCAGACACAGCCAGGTGTGCCTCCTAACCCCCCTCAAAACTAATACCAATAAAGGGAAGGAAAGGAGAAATGACACAATAAGAATGGGTAAGAGAGAAATCTGGTCGGTGATGAAAACCTCTGTTAGAAGCATCACGGTGCTGCTGCCCAGTGGGATCTTAACCACCGGCCCTGGTTTTCTACTGTATTAGCATTTTAGCCTCCTATGCACCCAACTCTTTATTAGTCAGTAGCTCTAGTGGTCTGGCCCTGCACATACAAAAGATGTTAGAACCACTGAATTGTTTCTTCTCATCTTCAAATTTCTATTTTTATGTACACTTTGAAATAGGCATATTACATATTCATGATACCCATCTTAAATGGGTATCATGATCAGTAGTATAGGTAACTGTATAAGTCAATGATTCTCAAAATTTTGGTGTTAGAATCTCATTACACTGTTGTTATTATTATTATATCTTTGGAGTGAGGTTTGATGGTACTCAGGGATTACTCCTGGCAATGCTTGGGGGATCAAATGTAGTGCTGGGGATCACACCAAGGTTGACCACATGCAACTCAAGCATCCTCTTGCCCCTACATTCTAAATTACTAAAGACCTAGACAGCTTTTGCCTGTGGGAATTATATCAACTGATTTGTTGATATTAGACCTTAAAACAAAAAGTTTTACATATGTATCAATTTATAGTTTTAAAATTAAGCCCATTATATGACTACATAGCGACATTTTACTTAAAACGGTATGTTTTCTATGACCTAAATTTAGACAACTGTAATACACTTATAAACCTGTCAAAATCTAGCTTAGTAGAAGACAGCTAAACTCTCGTATCTACTTTTGCATTCAAAAAATTATAACAGGGTCAAGGAGTTAATTCACTGGGACTGGGTCTGAGAAAGTGCTCCGCATGTAGAAGCCCCAAGTTTGATCCCTGACACCACATGGCCCCTGAGCACTGCTGGGAGTATCCTGCACTTTAGTACCATACCACTGAGTGTGGGACAAGAAACCAAAAGCAAATACCCAAACAAAACAGAGAAAGTGTTGGAATTTGTCTTAGTTGGAATAATGAAGAAACTATGTCTTGACACAGATACATAACTATAAAAGGGAGGGGCATTTTCAAGGACTTTGCAAATAACTGTGGATATGTTTAAGACCATACAAAATCTCAATGAGAAGTGGTCTATAAAATTAGTTGTAATGTGGGCTCTAAAATCCTATCTGGTAGGCTGGAATCCTGAGTCAATGCCTGGCACTGCATGGTCCCCTGCAATTATGGTCAAAATCAAACCAGAGCAAAAAGCAAATAAAATCTACCTTGGGGCCAGAGAGTTAGTACAGGAATTAGGGTGCTTGCCTTGTATCCCAGGTCAGAGCCCCACACCACGGAGTTTCCGTGAGCACCACCAGGGGTCACTCCTGAGCATATAGCCAAAATCAGCCCCTGAGCATCATGGCTCCAAAACCAGAAATTAAAATAAATCATATCTGTTCTCTTTTGCATTTTGTGTGGTATTTTGGCTTTGGGGTCACACGAGATGACGTTCAGGGGTTACTCTTGGCTCTGCACTCAGGAATTACTTCTGGCGTTGCTTGGGGGACCATATGGAATGCCAGAGATCCAACCCTGGTCAGCCACATGCAAGAAAAAACGCCCTCCCCACTGTACTATCACTCTGGCTCCTCTCTTTTGCATTTTGGATAGACATCCTGTCCGTGTGTTTCTAAATCCATTATTCTGGAGAGCAAGTGGTTCACTGAGTTACATGGGTCTTCCAAATTTTGACCCATTTATTAAAACGTAAAAAGAAATTAAACTTGTTAATATTATCACTGATCTCATCAAAAGTAAGTTTTTGGAAATTTTCAAGTTTATGGTGTGCAAGGGAATGCACATTTCCTGAATCTCAACATTCTCTAAAGTCTGGATTTCCTCACCGACAACTGACACTGTCAAATATTTTCCTTAGTCTTCATTTCATTAATTTTGGGGGGAAAATACTGTCATATGCCAAGACCACAGTTATAATCTGCAAATTTAATTTTGACACTTTTTGTTGGTGTTTTATTTTGGACCACATCTGATGGTGCTCAGGGCTTACCTTTGGCTCTGTGCTCAGGATCACTCCTAGTGTGCCTCAGGGTACCATATGAGGTGCCATGGTGGATGGAATCAGGGTTCTCTTTACCCGCTGTACTATCTCTCTGGCCCAATATGTCCTTTTTTGTTTTTGCCTTTTAGGTTACACCCAGTGATGCCAGGGGTTATTCCTGGCTCTGCACTCAAGAAGTACTCCTGGCAGTGCTCAGGAGACCATATGGGATGCCAGGGATCGAACCTGGGTCAGCGCATGCAAGGCAAATACCCTCCCCACTGTACTATGACTCTGGCTCACATCATTCTTTCAGAAAATTATTTTTAGAGTCCTGCCCAGGATTTGCTCTTCTCACCAGATTTAGCTGCAAAATCTGCTTTCTTTCATCTTTGATAAGTCAAATTATTCCTCTTTCCTTTATTTTTTTTCTTTTTGGGTCACATCTGGCGATGCACAGTGGTTACTCCTGGCTCAGTACTCAGGAATTACTCCTGGCAGTGCTCGGGGGACCATATGGGATGCTGGGAATCAAACCCGGGATGGCTGCATGCAAGGCAAACACCCTACCCACTGTGTTATCACTCCAGCCCCTATTCCTATTTCTTTCTTTCTCTGTAGTTACACAGATAGATCTCCAGAGGCACAGGTGCATGCCCACAGTCAACCAACACTGAGCAAAAGTTTGTCATCCTCAATACAGAATTACATGATGTCTATAGCATTTGTGTCAGATATACCTATTTGCGAGAGCTATTTAGAGTCCCGCACCTGGCTGTCCTCACCGGGGCCCCTTGGAGGGGAGTGGGTTGAGTTTTCCTCCCCACCCCAATCAGGGCTCCGGCAGCTGAAAACCTCCAGAACCAGCCACCACCATGCTGAGACCACTCTGCACACATGAAGGTACCGGCAGAGGAAAAAAGGTACGCGGGTCCCGGGGCTGAGATCTCCAAGCCTACTTGGATCGGGGCTGAGCATCCTCCACCCAGATCCTCCAAATTCCAGTAGGCGGGGGTCACACCCACCAACTGGCCCCCTGGCGCCGTGTAATCCCATCAAC